TTGATGCATCCGATTTCGCTATAGGAGCCGTTTTGCGACAAAACATCTCTGAGAGTTGGCAACCTCTCGAACATATCGCATGACGCCTTACCCCCACTAAGACGAGATATAGAGCTCCTCGTCGCGAATCGCTAGCAGCCTAGTGTGCCTTCAAACGTTTCCGGCACGCAGTAGAAGGTCGTAACTTTATACTTTTCAACGACCATGAGTCTCTAACGTATGCTGTGCATACCAATTCTGACCGCTACTCACCACGAGAGTCCAGACATTTGGACTGTATATCTCAGATCATGACAGACCTTCGTCATATTAAGGGCGAGTCAAACTATGTTGCTGACGCTCTCTCACGTATTCAAGTAAATGAAGTTACTCTACCAGTGCTCGATCCTCCTGCTATTGCCACAGCCCAATCAAACAATCCTTCTTGTACAAAAGTACAACATTCGACATCCCTTCAGTGCCCGAAAGTACCACTAGCTACCACCTCAGGTACTATCCTGTGTGACAATTCTACAGGTTTACCCCGACCCATTGTACCTTCTGCTCATCGTTGTCTCTGTCTTCGATGCCCTACATGGATTGTCTCATCCAGGTATCGCAGCTATGTTACGTTCCATCGCTGCATGACACGTCTGGTCGTCCATTAATAAAGATGTCCGTATGTGGGTAAAGCAATGCTTAAAATGTCAACGATCAAAGGTGCACAGACTCACAGCCGCCCCTATCGGCACACTTGCTACGCCTGATGCTCGCTTCGATCACGTTCATATTGACATTTTAGGACCATTGCCACCATCGTATGTGTATGATCACATACTCACGTGCATCGATTGTTTTACAAGATGGCCCGAAGCTATTCCCATCACTTCTATTACGACGGAAACAGTCGCTCACAGCTTTGTCGAACGACGGTTGTAGAATATTACGGTTGTCCATCGACTGTCTCAACTGACCGAGGACAACAGTTCGAGTCCGAATAATTCTCCTCACTAACCCGGCTGCTTGGTACGGAGCACACAATCACTACAGCCTACCACCCAGCTCAGAGTGGTTTATTCGAACGGCTTCATCGCCAACTTAAAAATGCTCTTCCAGCACACGAAAACAACAATTGGTACGCAACCTTACCGCTCGTCCTTTCAGGTATCAGAACGAGCTTCCGGCTCTGAAATGGTATACGGCACGACATTGCGTCTGCCTGGGGAATTTTTCACATCACGTAGCAGTAACAACTTCAAAAATCAGACTACGTCCAACGAATGTCTGAATTTATGCGAGCACTGCTCCAGATGTCAACTCGAGTACAGCATCGACTGGTCACTCCCTTTGAGAGTTATCTACCTGTTTGCATGTCTTCATACGAGTCGATTCAGTACTCAAGCCTTTGCAAGAGCCTAACGAAAGACCTTTTCACATGATTTCTCGTCATTAAAATACCTTCAAGGTTGCTCGACATAGCCACATCAGGGTAGTTGGCATTGACCGTCTCAAGTCAGCACACGTCGACGACAGTGCCCTACTTGCTAATCCGAAACTCAATGCTAGACCTATCAAACCTACTAGTGTGATTCTTAAAGCTACCTTGGGTCTCACGCTAGACAAATCACAGACCTCATTCTCACGTCTCAGTCAACAGCACGGTTCATCTGCTGTATCTACGGATGAGACTCCGGTCTCACGTCGAGATCAGCAGACCACTCCATCCTTGGCTTAGGATGAGATTGAAGACTCACAAGGTACCCACGAGACTGCCGTCTGGCGTTGCGGTCGCCGCGTACGCCTACCCGTACGCTTTCTCGAATAACCACCCAGGCAATAACCAATACACTTTCCTCGTGCCATATGTATGCTACACATTTATCTTTTTCTTTCATTTTGTATGCTCAGCCCATGTCTATGACCATCACCCTGTTGGTACCGTCGACTTCAGTCAATTATGGTGAAAGCCGGCCTGATCACCCTTACTGTTGTCAATGCACTCAGTCGACGTTTTGGTTTCGAATTTTTTGGCATACGAATGGTTTCTTACTGGTCGTTTCTGTCTCCTTCGCTCAGTTTGGTTCCGTACTACGTCTGCAGTTTGTTCTTCTGGTACGAACCTCTAAGAACGCAATCTTCAGACTCTGGATACGAGCATGCCAACTCAAGCACTAAACTCGGCACGTTAAAATTCGTACAACTGAACTGAAAAGAATCTCGTTGACAACTCGAGCTTCATTGGTCGCTTCCTGTTCGTCAACCCTTCCGCCCCGAAATTGCCCGTTATCTGACTATCCCGCCCCCTCCGCACGAAACTGCTACGTATCGAAAGTGAAAACCCTTTCTATGGGGGGGGGCTAATGTAGTGGTTTGCTTTTATGAAGAAAACACAAGTGCTGAAATATAAAAATTTATTATTGTACTTAATTCTGACAATAATTGTTATATTGTACACCTCTTGTTTATATGTATTAAAGACTATCTCTTTCCCGCCAAGCGTATTATTCCCATTCTCATCTTCACACGTATCCTGTCTGGACGTTAGCTGTTTGGACGCCCTCTTGCCTCGATATTATTTCGATATCACGTGGTCAGTATCAAATATACTTCTTCCTCTAGAATCTATTTCTTATTTGATTCTCAGAGTAACATTTCTTAACCCACGATGAAGTATATCGTAAGAACTTCTGTAAGTTACATTAGCCTTTGATGTCTCCCCTATGTAGTTTGAAAGATCGTCCAAGTTCTTTGTGATCATGCGATCAGGAGTTCGTGAAGAAGACGTAATTTACTTGTGTTGCGTAAGCAGAAAGTTCATGACTAGATATTCTGACTGGTTAAGTTTAAACTCGTTTTTCAATGCCCATTCCTGATTGTCATAAGCTCATTTTGAAGCTGAAGTGAATACTCGTTGCCTATTATGCGCCGCCAGATCTTTGCATCATCTGTATAGATTAGTGTAGCTGAGTTAATTCCCTTGAACAAGTCAATAATCAATATCAGGGAGAGGAGTGTAAATGAGCTGGTTCTCTATCTGACTCTGGATACTGAAACTCACCAGCTCGCGTACCTTGGTACTAAACATCCTGTTCCCAGATCGACTTGGATTCGTTAAGCAAGTCACTGATGGTTCAGTCTTCATTAATAGGCATAGGAGGTTGCACCGTTTTCTCACTGCTCATTACTCTAGTCGCTAAACTTTAGGAACAGAGTATTGAAATCTCCAGCTAGGAGTTTTTGGCCGACCAAACTGTCAGGGGAGGGCCTTATGACCTTCAGACCCATCCGAGAGCACACAGCCTTGATATCTTCAAGTTTATTTCTCATTACTCTTCTGTTGTTCAAGAGACACGTGATGGTTTTGCTCATCATCTCATTCGCCTCAGTAGTGATTCCCGCACTCGGATTTTTAGAAAAGTTGATCAGGCCGGGTAAACAGTTCCTTGAGATTTTTTCTCTGCAGTGATTGTGCTTATATAGTGTACTCAATCGGTAAACATTTCGATGACTCATCCATTTTCCTATGTATATATATGCACATTTTAACCTTAATAATTAATTCGCCAACTCTATAATTCGCTGACTCACTCCTTTGCCTGCTTGCCTTGCAACACTTCCGCATTGATTTGTTCTCCGCGTGCGTTTGGTTTGGAGTTTTAATCGTTTTCAACGATTCCTATTCGTCTTCTGATTTATAAACCGTGAGGCGCTATTTTGTGACGAGCAACATACGAAGTCTAATAAAACACATTAAATACCGACCGCCACGAAACTAATAAGACACTGTCCATCACAACTTGGTGCTCTTTCGCACTATCTAATGTGACTAAAAAGAAAGTTCTTGATGTTGTACCAAGAATGAAGCGCCTCAGTCAGGTCTTCTTGATTTTGGAAGTTCAAAGCCACCAAACGCGTAGACTTAATAGTCGTGAGGTGTGACGAACGAGGCAGCCAGGAAACGCTAGTTGCAATAGTGGTGTGAAAGCATATGCTACGTGATAGCCACATTCATTGTCGCAAAATATGTATATGAACATCATCTGATCTATCACTAACCAGCTCAGGCACTTTGTGAACCACCATACTGGTATTTTTTCGGGTGTCTACTAATGTTCTGGCAGTTTCGATTACTGACCATGGTTCCTAGCACCTGACAGTGATCGAAGAAGACGGTTAAGTCGAGGGTCTCTGTATTGTCGGCAACATTTCCCTAACCCTAATATCACTTCTCAAAGTTGGCACAGTTGAATAGTTCATAATTTCACTTATGTTACATCGCATTACCACGATTCTTGTGCCCACTGTAACCTAACAAATGAAACCAACACTTTTAATCGTACTCGAAGTAATCAATTCTCATCATCAGATGCATAACTTCTGCTTCAAATCGTTGTTTATGATAGATGTTCATAGTGATGTATGAGAATATTACCATTGTAAAACTTTAGTACACAACAGCTAAATGAAATTTCGTAATACTCCTGAATATTTTCCTCTTTTATGATCTTCATAAGACAAAGTGAAACCCATATTTCAAAGAGTTTGAAAAATACAGACAAAAATGTCTTTGTTCGATTGTGAGTGGTTGATGTATACGCAAAGATCATGTAATGCAGACGAGTTTAGTACTGGGTAATCTGTTTCCAGTATTATTGACATTAAATACCTTGATGTCTCTAAGAACAAAATATGTTTGTTTCTTTAAATGACTAGTATAATCTTGCGGTGATAATTTGCCTAATCGATATTGTGATGAGGAATTTCTCACACTTAAAGACTGTTACTATTTGAATCAACAGTTTATTGCAGCTGTAGTATATTCGTTTGAGTAAATCTTTGTATTTTTTCGGTCTCACTTATAACCTATCGTTGAATAAAAGAAAATAATATGGCTTGCAGGTATGAAATTTTTTTATTCAGCAAAATTTTATACATAAAAAAATGATTCTGTAAGCTAAAAATTAGTTTCTGTTGTAAAATCAAGATGCATCTGAGATGTAGTATAATGGATTCGAGTTTATTTAAACTGGACAAAATCCTGGTCCATTTATTGGTTCCGCATTCCAGCCACGACTGTAAATACAAAAACAATTTTAGTTTGACGAAATGAGAGTTCGAAATTAATGTGAAAATTTCCATTAATAGTTTGTAAATATGTGCCTAGTGAATGTGAAAGATAACTGACCACTGAACATGGACAGCTGTTTGATTAATATAATTACCTTACTGATGTTGTTGATTTCGACTGTGGACTCAGTGAGTTGTAGTGGAATACTCTTACGAAGAGAATGCGATTGGTGAAATGAAAACATTTATTATTGTAACCGATTGTATCAGTGATTGTTTTTGATTGTACTCTTTTGTTTAACTGCACTAAAGACTATAATCGCGCGCGTCATGTGTCGCTTAAATTGCTCGGTTGCCTCGGTGGTTTTGCCCACGTCTCTTATTGTGACCTCTACCTCCAGTCACAGTTGGTCTTTTGATTTTTTAACCGTAAAGGGATTTAACTTGGCTATCTCGCGATAAGTAGTCTCGATTCACAACAGATTGTAGATTTCCTGCAATTGTGTTGAATAAATTATTGCCTATCCTATACTCTGGTGCTCAATTTTCAGTTGACAATCAAGTATGTGATATGAGATAACCTGAGTTGCGGACAGCCATTCAATCGAATATCTAGTTTAGTTGTCCCGACCGTAGCTGCTACCTTGACGTGGTGATCGAGCTTGCCTATCGTGATGATCCAACTGAGCTATACTGGCTGGAACATTTGTTCCTGAAGGTTCTACTATCCCAGGCAGGTCGATTGGAGAACGATGAGACTAAAAAGCAGCTACTCAAGGTCTAAGGGTGATGTCGTACTGCTGACTGTCGAGGGGTGTGACAGAAGAGAAATGTTTCTATCGGACAACCAGCATCTGCAGCGATGCTGCCTTCTCACAAGGAAAGAAGGATTAGAAAAGGTCGACTCTATAAATGTCAAAAGAACAATCAAAGCTCCACAACCAAAACAACCAGCTCGGAGAACTAAACTCTACCACAAGGTTCATCCACTATTTGTGTTTTCTCAAATCCTAATCTTCTGGATTTGTCAACACCTCTGCCTTTGTCTCTCTAAACTTATCTCACAGAATTATACCTCTTGAATGATATCTTCAAATCCTAATCTTCTTCATTACTAGTATTATTTCTACTATCTCTACCACTATTGTATTTGAATTGACAGTTGCATCTCTGTGCTTGTATGATATGGCAATCTGAACTGATGTACTTATGTACGAAGTTCTACGTCGTACCTGACTGACTCAGTTTTTATGGGTATGTGTATAAGTTACCAACCGATTTCAAAAGTTATTCAGCTGTCTTATCAACACTGTCAAACATTTAGTGGTTAATACAGGTTTATTGTTCAAATGATTGAAAGTGATCTTGACCAGAAATTACTTTTCCTGAAGATGTTTGTTTTTTCAGACTAATCTGATAAAACAAATAGCCAATGGTTACCTGACTTAAAACTTTCTAATTTTACAGAGTGTCCACCTAAAAGTTGATTCTTATTCACAACACAATTTCCATACAGATTGGATTATTTTTTAATTTTCACATGCATTTAGTCAGTCAGTCAGATGCAACGTAGAACTTTGTACATAAGTACATCAGTTCATGTTGCCATACCACATCAGCACAGAGAAGTAATCGTCAATTCAAATCCAATAGTAGAAGAGGTAGTAAGGGAATTAGAAATAATCGGAGAGGTTAGGATTAGAAGATACTATTCAAGAAGTATGATTCAGTGAGAAAAGTTTAGAAAGTCGAAACTAGAGGAGTTGAAGAATCCAGAAGATTAGCATTTGAGAGAACACAGAGAATAAATGCAACGGCGCCATTACGAACGATTTTGAGCCATGTCATTCAAGGTCTCTAACCATCGATTATTATCATCTCGCGGACCCCAACCAGGGCATTTAGTCAATGTTCAATAGGATACTTAACTTACCTTAACATTCGACAACGAAGTTCTTCTACTCTTAAAGTGAAATCTGCTACGTTTGGTGAATTTTTACTCCACAATCTTTCAGCTACAGCTGAACCACGAGGCCTTTAAAAGAGAAAATACCATTTAAAACAAATTTATCAATAAAACTTAAACATTTACTTATCTTGGTCTCTTCTGATATAGCAAAAATGTTTTAGTATTTTAACGTTCATTTCAATGTTCATTGAAACATTCAAGTCAGAGAGAGAAACTTCACTACAAAAACATAAAAACTCTTTCACGATAATCGATGTTGATTATCCTAAACGATTTGAAATGAATGATGTTCTATGAGAATGTCACTTCTTGCTTATAGACAACATTTGTAACAGTTTGAAAGATAGAAAGGAAAGTTAAGACTATGAACGGTTGAACGGCTCACCTCTGTTTCTGTCCACAAAAATTTAAGTCATACATACATTGTTCATTAGAAACCGACTTGAGCTATTTGTTTCAACCATATGAATGCTTTACAATGGCTTCTGGGTCAGCAGAATAATTAAAATAGACTAGATGGCCCCTAAATTGATAGTTTGCTCGATTCCAACAACTCAACTGATAGATACACATTGACGTGGTCGAAAGCTATAGCTTTATAAATCTAAGAATCATAGGCTGATTAGAAAAAATGTAGGAAATCCAGTCGAACAGAATGTTATATTCAGAGATCTCAAAAGCCGGTGGTGATTTTATCACAGACTGAAGATCAACAGAATATCTATCACAAATCATAGATAACTGTTTAGTAGTGACCAGTTCAATATTAGATTTCCTGAGATTCTATTTCAACGATATAACTTACAATGTTCAACAAATCATGAGTGAAGCCGAATTGTAAGCCATTGACTGTAAAGATTCATCTTCAACATAAAATCGAAAGAGTTTTCATTTGACTCCATGTTGTTTTAGTTGATGAAAACTACTGTTGTGGTGTGAGCTACTTATAAGTAGTATATGACGTGAGTGTCAACGTAATGTCTGGCAGCCGAAGATGGGGGAAGATCAAGAAAGGAAGAGTTAGAACACAATGGAATTTGTATGAAACACATGAATAGTGACAATGGATTGATGTTTTGCAACAGGAACGCTCCAGTTCTATATGATGGACTAATATTTTGCAAATGAACGATTTACGATATGGTTTTCCTATTTTACTGAGTAACTCTGTAAATTTCGTTAAATACCGTCAGGTTGCCCCACCTGTGTTCTCGTTCACTACACTGTAGGTTTAAAAGAAAACGACTAGACATTCGTAGCGTGCTTCTTGATTAAAAAAAATTCTTTCACATAATTTAAATCACTCCTTAGAATTAATTTCATAGGAACACAATCACCAGAAAATAAAAATTCATTATTTTATTTGTAAATTTTACTATACTACTTAATTTACTTACCATGATCTACTAAATAAATTTGTATCATCCACATATTCACCCCACATAGTTGCTTCACCACCAATCACCAGTTGCTCATCTTCTTTACTGCCTATACAAAGTAAGAAAATAAAAACAGTTTAGGTGTATTCCTTAGTTAAAAGTATTCTTATATTTGTTTAGTACAAATGGTGCAGTTATATTATGAACAGATTGGAGGATTAAGGCAGTCGCATATTCACCTAGTTTGATAATGAATGCACAGTAGTTATTGTCTAAGTTTATTGTTTTTCGGCATGATAGATGATCAATGATTTTTAAGGAAATAGAAAGTACAATTTTTTTTCTAATATTTATTTTTAAAGCTTTCAAATGAGTATGTCTATAAACTGTCAACGATTAGGTTTTTCACGATACTACTCTAATCAGTAGTTGGTTTTTTTAAAAAAAATTAAAACATCTTTTATCATTTTATGATTAAATCTCACAGACAATCAAAAGTTAAAGAATAATTGAAGAATTTTGGCACTGTAAGTATCTGCTTCTTAAATGGTGTCCGGAGTAGCTGTGTAGTGAGTGCCTCCACATATATTCCAGTCCGCTTATAACTAACTTGGTTAAGCCCTTTCGATTAATCTATTTAACCAAGCCATTCGCGTAGTAGCAACAACTTATATGTACCATTCTCTCTTATTATTGTCTGGTTTGTATGAGCTCACATGACGTGTCATTTGACCTTGTCAATAATTTGTCGTTTTGTTCATGTGTGCCTATTTCGCTTGCTGCATGTCTGTGTTATATATTTGTCTGACTATATATTCATAGTCATGCTCTATCTCTTGTAATTGGCTCAACAGCCTTCTCCAATGTGCTTCGCCTATTCGTTCGCTTCCTTCCCTCATTCTTTCGCTGCTTTTCAACTTCACTATGTGGTGTGTCCAAAATATAAACGTATTCATACTTCGAATTCGCCTTCTGATTTATAAACCGTCAGACGCTACTTAGTGACAATTGTCTAGACGAGCTAATTACCGAGCTATCCGAACACTCAGATAAATGGACCCCACAGCTGTACATGATCAATCCACATGTGATATGCTTTCGAATTCCACCCTGTTCACTATACTACATAAAAATTATGAAACGCTATCGGGTGGTGACTGGACTGTATCCATCCCGAGTTCCGTAACTAGTTAATACACAAGGGTTAAATAATTGAGAGGTTTGCAAAAACGTAAATACTCTTTGCATTGTCTTTGGCATGGTATTAATACTTCGTTTCTGATTCCTAAAATAGGTCCGAAGATCGATTCAGTGCTCTTGGCCTATCAAGATTCCCCCACCTGATATTATCTCGTGATGAAAATCGCCTCTAAAGTGAATTAGCCTCCAAAAACATTTCGTGTTTACTACTTTTGATTATCGTTGCATATAATTACGTTAAGTCTTCTTTCTCGTAAACACAGAATTGTTTAATTTTTAAATTCAATATACATAAGATATCCTGTTAAACAAGTCTCTGAAATGACCTCTTGACTGTAGCTGCTACTTTGACGTGGTGGTAGGGCTCGCTTGTCGTGATGACCCAACCGAGTTATGTTTCTCAAGGCACTACCATGCCAGGCCGGTCGAATGAAGAACAGTGAGACTAAAAGCAGCTACTCAACGTCTGAGGCCGAAGTCGTACTGCTGACTGTCGAGGGTTGTGACAGAAGTGAAATGTTTCTCTCGGACAACCAGCATCTGCAGAGATGATGCCTTCTCACAAGGAAGGAAGGGTTAGAAAAGGTCGACCGTAAAAATGTCACACTTCACGCTACATCACGGATTTCCGTCTCCTTGGGTAAGGGTGTCCACTAAGGGCTTTCAAGAGCGTAGCTAATACTCAAAAAACTTCTCAGAAAAAGGCCTTGCGTGACCGACGTCAGGTAGTTGTCCCCTGGGCTCTGCAATCAAGCTCCCAGGTCATTAAAACCAACACTAATCTACCTTCCTTTTTAGATTGCTCAAGAAACAACCTTTCACGGTGTGGGCAGCCCGGAAGTAACATCCTCCCTCATAACTGTAAAAGTATACGAAGTCAAATCGGTCACAGTCAAATATCTTTTTTTTTATCACAGGTTGGAGTTGTTTAGTATTAGCAAACATATTTTCTACTTTTTAAAATGAAGTTTGATTAAGTGACTAGTTTCATTATTGTCTCCTTAAAATTATAATCACTTAGTAACAATACATTTTAATTGATAAGCTTATAGTTTTCTTACGAGTTACTGTTTATAAGTTTCCATTTTTTTAACTGATCAATTAAAAAATTTATTTCTACCGATTATCAATTATAACTTTCATTCTATCACAATTCAAAGATTAATTTAGTTGGGAATCGGGGATGTTACGTACTTCAGTTATTGTACTGTTTTGCCTATCAAGTAAAATATACCTCATAAACCTTTTCCAGTTAACGTCGTACGTGATTACGTACATCAGTTGAAGTTGCTGTTCTACATTAGCACAGAGAGATAGAATTATCACTTCAAATCGCATACTAACTGAGGGAGTAGAAATATCAGCAGTAATGGAGAAGATTAAGGTTGAAAGATACTATTCAAGAAGTAGAATCCAGTGAAATAAATTTGAAAAGTGAAAGATAAAGGTGATGAGGAATTCAGAAGATTAGATTTTGTAGGAAGACAGAGAATTGATACCTCTGCACTATTCTAAACGATTCAAAGTCCCTAACCATCGGTTATTGTCATCTCGCGTAACCCACCAACCAGGTGGGTTCTACTCACACCGACATGACTCAGTCCACTTGTCAGTGACTTTATGGATTTCTACCATGTTTTGATTTGACCGCCTTTAGATATTCTTTTACATTTATTTGAATAAAAACGTTCATAAGTTAAAACAAAAAGTCATCAATGAACAGTAGGTATGCAAAACAAACAAGGTACCACATAATATGATATTTGAAAATTGATATTTGAAAATACCTCCAAAATCTCTTGGATCAACTTGATAGTAGTTTTTCCAGTCATTACCATATGAAATGAGGTTTAGATACCAAGCAGCTGAGAATAATACTCGATAGCCTGATTGAGTAATATTTTTCATTACAGATTTCCAATCTGAACTTTTCCATACATGAATCACCGTTGATTTATCACCCTGAAAATCAATAAATTAAAAATTAAGTGGCTTCACTGACATGTATAAATAAATATTATTGTCAAAATTAGATTGGATCATAATATTTGAATGAAGAGAAAACTTTTCGTAATGTTAAAAATGTACAAGTTCATTTTCCTTGACCAACAGACGTTTATTGCCCACAGAAAATACTGTGTAAGTAGGAAGATCTATAAGTAGGTATAAATATATTTTGGTGATTTTGACCACAAATTTTATAGACTAATTCGAAGAGAGAACTACTGAATGTGAGACAGTTATCAGTTACTTTGCAATCTAACTCTAGAAGCAAAAGAAGAAGGCCTTATTTAGGGATCTAGCTACTTGATGAATGTTTCTAAGTAATTTAGACGTTTGTCAATTCATCAAGAGAAAGCCACAGGTATTAAAAGTCAAGCAGAAGTTGAAGTTATGTAATATTTATAATGAAGATAAAAATCTGAATCAACATTTGTCAAAATTAGGTACAGAACAGCAATGTGAATGATTATTGTCAACTTGAAGAATGAAGAAAGATGAAGAAGTGAAAAGGAACACGTATCAAGAAATAACTTGCACGATGTGAGAAAGGACTGTAGTAAACTAAAGGAGTAAATATACTTACTTACTTACTTATTTACTTACTTACTCCTTTTACCCCCAGTGGAGCATAGGGCGCCAACCACTTTTCTCCAACCAACTATGTCCTGGGCTTCCCTTTCCAGTTCCGTCACTAAGGAGTGGACTGAGTCATGTTGGCAGATGTAGGCTACCTAGTTAGGGTCCACGAGATGAAAGTCACCAATGGTTAGAGATTTTGAACGATATGACTCAAAATCGTTTTCATTGGCGCAGGTGCATTCATTCACTGTGTTCTGTCAAATTCTAATCTTCAGAATTCCTCATCATCTACATCTTTCTCTTTCTAAAGTTATCCCACTGAAATCATCAATCAATCATTGTTAGACCACACTATTAGAAAAAACCCGCGAGAACTTGACGGGTTAGGGTGATTTTGATTTGCGTAAAAACAACAATCTCCATAACTCTAACTATGTGCTTACCAGTGACTAGCTTCGTGAGGGAATTCTCGGAGTTCTGGTGAAAAGATATGTCAGGTGTAGGCAGTAACTACCAAAGAAAGAATGGATGAGGTAGCGCGAAATCCCTCAATCAATCAGAGTTAGACATTAACACCGTTAAATGCCAGCCCAGTGGTCCGGAAGTTAGGCGGTCGCGGGCAAGACCGGTGGTCCCGAGTTGGAATCCTGCGAGGTGCAGGAGTCAGTCACTCAGATGCAAAGTAGAACTTCGTACGTAAGTACATCAGTTCAAGCTGCCATACCACATCAGCACAGAGATATAATTGTCAATTCAAATCCAATAGTAGTAGAGGTAGTAAAGATAGTAGAAGTGATCGGAGAGGTTAGGATTAGAAGATATAATTCAAGAAATATGATTCAATGAGATAAGTTTAGAAAGTCAAAACTAGAGGTGTTGAAGAGTCCAGAAGATTAGGATTCGAGAGAACACAAAGAATAAATGCACCGGCGCCATTACAAACTGTTTCGAGCCATGCCATTCAGGGTCCCTAACCATCGATTATTATCATGTCGCCGACCCCAAACAGGTAGTCGACAACTACCGACATGACTCAGTCCACTTGCCAATGACTTCATGGATTGCTGCAATGTTTTGGTTTGGCCGCCCCTAACTCTCTTCAACCTACTCCTACAACACAAAACATAGCTCGTCGCGGCAGACGGTGGTTCATCATACGCAGCACATGTCCCAACCACATCAACTGATGAAGTTTCATCACTACATCTATTGATCAACCATTCTTACATAGCACCCGTTTCCTAATAACAGCGTTGCTCACTCGGTTGTCCCAGGATATACGAGCAATGCTTCGAAGACACTTATGATCGAAAACCATTAACCTACGAATATCTTCTACTCTCACTGGCCATGTTTCATAGCTATAAAGTAAGATGGAGCAAACTACTGCACAGTACACTCGTCCTTTAGTCAGCAAACGGAGTTGTGGAGTTGTACAGTTGTGCACTACTGATGGGTTAAATGATCATTAGTTTCAATTTATATCAGGATAAATTAAAACTGAATCCTGTTAAGTTAAAATGTACTCACTCTGAATCCATTTTGAAATATTTCCTGCCATACAACTGGAGTAATATTTCTCGCCGGCGGTTTGATATCATTGATAATTTGAATAAGACGATTTATGTAGTAACCTTCTAGATGACGATAATCATCACCAAATTTCATTTGTTTCATAAATTCAATAACCAAAGGATTAGAACGCCTAGCATTAGTAAAATCATGAAAAATATTTAAATAAGATTCGAATTTGTAAGAATTTCAAATCATAAATAAGAATGTTAATCTCGGAAAAAACTGATAACAAAAGCATAATTAACAGTGAGTTCGTTTACCGATAGTCTTTAGTTATATCAGGCTTCAATATGAAAAGAGAGTCACTAAGAAGTAAAAGACTATGAAGTTCAATAGGATACACAATATGTATCCTAACCACCGACTGCCTCGACGAGCTATGTTTTGTGGTGTAGGAGTAGGTTGGAAGAAAGCTAGGGGCGGCCAGACCAAAACATGGCAGAAATCCATGAAGTCACTGACAAGTGGACTGAGTCATGTTGATAGATGTAGACTACCTGGTTGGGGTCCGCGAGACGAAAGTCATCAATGGTTAGAGACCTTGAACGACATGGCTCAAAATCGTTTGCAATGGCGCAGGTGCATCCACTCTTTGAGCTCTCTCAAATCCTAATCTTCTGGATTAGCCAGCACCTCTACGTTTGTCTTTCTAACCTTATCTCACTGAATTATATTTTTTGAATAATATCTTAAACCCTAGTCTTCTTTATTATAACATTAATACCTCTACCATCTTTATCACTATGGGATTTGATTTGACATTTGCGTCTCTGTGCTAATAATGTGGTATGGCAACATGAACTTATGTACATACGTACGAAGTTCTACGTTGCAACTGACTGACTGGATACACAATATGGAAGTCATTCAACTGCATTATAAGACAAGTCCTCATATTCAATCCTTCAGGACGAGAGAAAGGCTGGAAGATTGAAGAACACATATCATCGAGAATCAGAGAACGATATCAAAAGAATGAATAGGAGTTTGAAAGGAATGTCAAAGACAGAGTTGGCTGAAGAATTCCGGTTGGAGACCAATGCTTCAAGAAGAGGATCAGGCGTAAGTAGGTAAGTTAGTTATGCATAAAAATAATTTTAACCGGTTAAAAAAATGTATTACATGTAGAGTCTATCCATTAATACAGAACAATGTAGATGCATCACTGAAATTCCACCCTAATGTAGGCATAGTTGCTAATTAACCTAAAACCCATATTTATTGTAAAATTATCAACGATCTTCAATCAATTTCTCATGTATTTAGTTAGTTGAGTAACCACATAAGATTGGTGAATACCTGTACTACATATTATAAACGTTTATATATAAATATTCAGCGTGGAATGTGTTGGGGATGTTAGATCCCCAGAACTCGCTTGATAAATGCCTTATTTTGGATTTCACGTTTGCCAGCATGGGATGATCAGTTGACCTTGAGATTTTATTTCTCATCAGGAAAATCTATGGCTGTGTGATTGGCCACTGTGTATTTTAGTGTGCTATTTTCGTAACTGTCCCAAGGACGTTTCTGTGATGTATAAATAAATGAGAGTTGTGTACTTGATTGTACTGTGATTGCTGGGTGTTTGTAGAATATACTTTCTACGCTTACAAAGCCTTTTATCTTCAGTTTGGGATTCAAGGTAGCCTATCTGAACGCTGGTAATTGTCTGGTTCGCGTTTATCGACTAAGATGAACTCGTATAGCTTCAAGCGTACCTAGTAACGAACCCTACAGAATGCTTTCATTTTAAACCGGAAACATTGGAATTTAAAGCTTACCAACAGCCATAATCCACTTCATCTCCACCTAAATGAAACCAGTTATCACGAAATACACTGAACAATTCTTTGTATAACTGTGACATAAAGTTATACGAGACATTGCTTGTTGGATTGACTGGACCCAGAGTACCGTCCGGTTGACCTTTACTGAAACATTGGGTTAATATTTCTGGATAACCTTTCCCCCAAGAATCTGCGTGACCTATGATAAGTGAAAAAAGGATGCGATAAGCAATTTTCATATTAAAGTTAAACCAATAAAATTTTGTTGATTCTGAGAATATTGAAGTAAAAAAATGATTATTTAAAAGTTTCCAAACTGTTAAAACAAATTTTCGGGCAGAGTTTTGAAGGTTTGTGTTTTTACACATTTGAAATCATCAATCAATCTGATTGTTAGACCACCATTAGAAACCTGGAAGCACTGGACGGCCGTTTCGTACTTGTATGGGACTACTCAACAGTGCGTATCCACGACTCCTGCCCCTCGGAGTATTCGAACCTGGGACCATCGGTATTGTGCGCGAACGTCTAATCATTGGACCAATCGGCCGGCATCCGACGGTGTTGAGAAGACATGACCAATGGAGTTCAACCCTGGCGGGTGTAGACAGTAAGTACCAAAGACAAATGGATGAGGTCGCGAGAAAATCTTAAGAGTTAGACATTAACACCGTTCGATGCCGGCCCAGTGGTCTGATGGTTAGGCGTTCGCGCACAATACCGAAGGTCCAGGGTTCGATTCCTGAGAGGAGGTGTAGGAACCGTGGATGCGCACTGTTAGTGAGTCCCATACCAGGACGAAACGGCCGTCCAGTGCTTCCAGGTTTCTAATGGTGGTCTAACAATCAGATTGATTGATGATTTCAAATGTGTTAAAACACAGTTGTACAAATTAAAATTGTTCATCTTGAAAACATGCACTACAAGCTCCGTAATTTTCTTGTTCAAATTATTGAATTAAAAAGAAATAGCTAATTTTCAAAAGGGAATATAATTTTTTTTAAATGAAACATATGAACTGAAGATTATCAATAATCTTTATATATCACATCTTACAAACTAAGCATCTTTAGATAATGAGCATTGATGATAACATCAAGGTTTGAACGCATGGCCTTCCGCCTTGCTTTCGAGCATTCAGCTAGGGGTGGCCAGACCAAAACATGGCGGAAATCCATGAAGTCACTGACAAGTGGACTGAGTCATGTTGGCAGATGTAGACTACCTGGTTGGGGTCTGCGAGAAGAAAGTCATCAATGGTTAGAGACCTTGAACGACATGGCTCAAAATCGTTTGAAATGGCGCAAGTGCATCCATTCTTTGAGCTCTCTCAAATCCTAATCTTCTGGAATCGTCAGCTGTTCTACCTTTGTCTTTCTAACCTTATCTCACTGAATTATACTTCTTGAATAATATCTTCAAATCCTAGTCTTCTTCATTCCCATTAATACCTCTACTATCTTTATCACTATGAGATTTGATTTGACATTTGCGTCTCTGTGCTAATGTGGTATGGCAACCCGAACTTATGTACATATGTACGAAGTTCCACGTTGCAACTGACTGACTGATTTAGATTTTAAACCAACGGACTGTCATCTAACCCATTGTTTCTTGCATTTTCATGATTATCTAACCGAATGATAATTTCAAGATTATCAAGACTGATCAATCAGTTACATTGATAATGGAAAGATTTAAAACCGTTACCGTAACAAATCAAGATAAATCTAACTGAGAGAGAGAGAGGCGGGAGGTTATATGTGCACTAATCGTATCAAGGTTATTTTATAATTAAGATGAATATTAAATTTTGATGACTGGAATTGGACAGAGTTAGAGAAAGATTGTGTTTATCTCTTTGATAGACAAAGTTTTATAATTATTAGTAAGGGTTATTTCTTCTAGCATTTGAAAGATTTTGAATGACACAGATTTTATTAAATAATTACTTAAACAAATGATCACTGTAAACGAAAAAACTACGGATGAGTATATGGTTCATTTGTACTGAACATTTCGATTCGGAACTGTTGACTGTTTTAAACATATATTTCCTAAGCAATGATGGAGGTTGCTCGTGAGCACAGAATAGTAAATTCCAAATTTTGAAATTCATAGTCATAATAAATCGGATTGAGAACACTTTTAGGAAATCTATTGGATTCAGTCAGTCAGTCAGTCAGTTAGTTACAACGTAGAACTTCGTAAGTAAGTACAGCCGTTCAGGTTGCCATACCCGATGATAGTTGTTACGTTGTCTTGGTGATCAGGCTTGCCTATGGTGATGACCCAACCGAGCTATATTGGCTGGTAGATATGTTCCTGCAGGTTCTGCCATGCCAGGCAGGTCGATTGGAGGACGATGAGACTAAAAGCAGCTATTCAAGGTCTAAGGGCGAAGTCGTACTGCTAACTGTGATGGAGGGGTGTAACAGCAGTAAAGTGTTTCCCTCGGACAACCAGCGATGTTGCCTACTCACAAAGAAGGAAGGGGTTAGAAAAGGTTAACCCTAAAAATGTTACACCTCACCTTACCTCATGGATTTCCATCTCCGGCAGTAAGGCCTTTTAAACAAGAACGGAACTAACACTTCAGAAACATCTCATGAAGTGGCCGGTCTTAAGCAACTGTCTCTTGGACTCTGCAGTCACGCTCCGAGGTCGCTAAGACCAACGCCAATCTACCTCCCTTTTCAGATTCCTTCCACGGTGTAGGCAACCGGGAAGTGACAACCGTCCTCATACCCGTAACATCGCACGAGACCAAATCGGTCACAATCAAATCTATGGGACTGGAAATGTATATTTCCGTTTCTCTACTTTGATTGCATATTCAAGTTACCCATACATACATAAGCTGATGTAAAGTGTATACTATCATACAACTTAACTGTTCATGTTTATTGATAGTAGAGTAATGAATATAAAACCACTTCAATAATGATATTTTTTTTAGTTTGTAGAAGAAAAAAACAACTTAAATGGTAAGAGAGATTTTAATCAATCCTCACTGTCTGATTAATGATATCAGGACGCAGCAGGAATTTATTAAGTTACAGTATAATCAATCAGTGTAACGACAAATGAATGTCGCATTTTAAACTTTGTTTCATTAAAAACTTATGAATTGTGAATAAAAGTTAGTTAATTGGTTTTCAACTTATTATCGATTAAAATTTAAACATATATAGTGTGATAAAGTTAACTTAACATTCATACGTTTATGTTATTAAGTGTTTCAATCATAAACATTCATAATAGGATAACAATGATGATTTTTAATTTTCAATTGTTACGCATAAACGTCAACATGTCATTTTGATATGCTTGAACTATGACGAGTTTACCTATGTCAGTAAACGAGGGCAAGGATCGAGGATTAGGCGACATGACATGCTACTCTAATCTCATTGTCCCAAGCCCTCATTCCGTAAACGGGGAAGACTTGATATGAAGTAGAACTTGTGTTCTACAAGCATCCAGAAAGTATGAGGTCCGAGTTCAGAAGAGAATCAGTATCCCGGACTAGGGATGCGGGTCATATTACGTTATAGATAATGGGTATTTACAGATTTAGGTCGAATGGGAAACAACAGTGAAGTTTGTGACAATGACAGTTAGGACGACCATAATATTGACTAATGGGAATCAACCAATAGAATTAGACTTACAAAAATAATTCTCTTAGGATATTTGATGAATATCCCCAACATCATTTAAAATCATCAATCAATCTGATTGTTAGACCACCATTAGAAACCTGGAAGCACTGGATGGCCGTATCGTCCTGGTATAGGACGATATCAATAGTGCGCATCCACGACTCCTACTCCTCGCAGGATTCGAACCCGGGACCTTCGGTATTGTGTGCAAACACCTAGCCTATGGACCACTGGGCCGGCATCCGACGGTGTTAATGTCTAATTCTGGTTGATCTAGGGATTTCGCTCGACTTCATCCATTCGTCTTTGTTAGTTACTGCCTACACCCGACAGGGTTGAACTCCACTGGCCATGTCTTCTCACTAGAACTCCGAAAATTTCCTCACGAAGCTAGTCACTAGTGAGCACTGTTATGATATTTTCAATTAGAGCTTTGGAGATTTGTGTTTTTTACGTTATG